TTAGCTCTAAGTTGAAATGATGATCCCTCTTTCTGTTGTGACCTCCTGATCCAGTTTTCGTCTCTACTGTTCCATCTTCTTAAAAATTATTTATCATTCTTTTGATGGTTCTTGAATGAACTTTGAAGATGGAAGCCAGAGTATGAATGTTGGTACCATTGCTGAAAGCCTGAATGATCTTTTTCCTCTCACCATTGCTCATTTGGGATGACAGTGGGGCTGACAAAAAACGATTTTAACCTGTTCTCTTTCTCGCTGAATAACTCAAAGGGGTTTTCAGTGATTCTTGCGCCAAATGGTGTCACGTGGACTAAATAGGTTATCTGAAAACGTGGAAAAAAGAATCTCAAATAGTTTAGTGTTTATTTTTTTTTTAGATATTAATAATTTTTGGGATGGACAATTATCCCATGATGTTACATTACACGATTTATACAATTTTATTTTTTTACACCGGTATATATATATATATATATATATATATATATATATATATATATATATATATATATATGGGTGGCCACTCGTATCCGAGGATTCCCGTTTCTGAGGCGGCAAGTCAACCCCCTATTGCAGACGCCTGCTCAGGCACATTTGTGTTTGTTCAAAATCCATAGAGCCCACCTGTGGTTATGATGCTACTATGCTTAGCGCACCTGAGTTGTAGTTTCTAGGAAATCGCGCGTAATCTAGCGTAACCAACAGTCTGAACGAGGCGAGCCCATTCAAACCCTCGGTCACGATGACTTGTGACTTCGTGCTAGTACAACCATCGACGGGTCCCAAAGAGTTCCAGCTACCCATATTTCACTCCCAAGGTTTGGGTCAACGCGTGGTATGGTTGTCATGTACTTTCCAAAGGTTCCGCATGACCGACAACATCAAAAAGGCCACCTTCCTGACAATCGACCATGGTAGATGGTCACGTGACCAAGTAGTTAAAACGTTCGCATTCTTACCATCAAACCGGGATATATATATACACTAGCAGTAGAGCCCGGCGTTGCCTGGGGATGTAACAGTAAGAGATAGATCAAGTATCGACCATCATAAAGACTGAAAAAAAAATTGACAAAGATTATTGTTTAAGGTTGACGGACACGCATGTCTTAATTAGTTTGTTTTTATTTTTTTACGAATTGGTCAAACCCAAATTCAAACAAAAACATTGTTTACAATTGTTATGAGTCTATCGATTGGTGAATAGAATTTTATTATAAACAATTGTCTTGTAAATGGTATTTTTAAAGCATTCTGAATGTAAAAATAAAGAAAAAAGTGTGCAAGACAATAAGAAACACTTATTGTCTTGCACACTTTTTTTTATTGTCTTATATTTAGGTTCAGTCGACGTTGCCATTTAACCTTCAGTTTATTTGATATTTTATGCTTTTACCTTATTTGAAGCTTTCGTTTATTCTTACTGTTTGTACGTACACACATATATATAAACATATCTCATTGAATAATTTAAACAAGTATTTTCTATATCTGTCTATATTTCTGAGATGAGGTATTATGTAAACTATTTACATTATTCGGACTATTGTCCTCATCTTTGTCACCATATTTATTACAACGTTTCGGCCTTTCAGTATCTGTCTATATTTCTGAGATGAGGTATTATGTAAACTATTTACATTATTCGGACTATTGTCTTCATCTTTGTCGCCATATTTATCACAACGTTTCGGCCTTTCAGTATCTGTCTATATTTCTGAGATCAGGTATTATGTAAACTATTTACATTATTCGGACTATTGTCCTCATCTTTGTTGCCATATTTATCACAACGTTTCGGCCGTTGTACGCTCCGGCCTTCTTCAGTTGGTTGGAATTTATTTTGTTTGTAGTAAAATCCAGGTAGCATCGGAAAAAAAATTAAATGCGAATCGAATTTATTTTTTTTAATGTGCTATTGTTAACGGGACGAAAAAATTAAATGCGAATCGAAATATGTTTTTTTTAATTTTTTTTTATACAGCTTATAATTTTTAAAAACAAGGATCATAACATTCATCGAGTGATTTGTAAGTTAATGCACCTTTAAAATTTTGTTAGCGAAGGGATTTCCCCATTTTATATCAACTTTACTAATCTACTTTTTGTATGAATGATTCATTGTAATATAAATTGAACTGCACCACATATTTGATATATATATATATATATATATATATATATATATATATATATATATATATATATATATATATATATATATATATATATATATATTAAAGATACCAGAAAAAATATGTAAAGCTTCTACTGGTGTTGAATAAGTCGGGTGGAAACTTGGAAAAGAACTTGCCTCCTAATTTGTGTGTAATATTCCGAGTATTTTTGACTATCGTTGATCATTTTCAAGGAAATACGGTAGAAATCAAAGATAGCTAGTAGACTACTCATACCATTACCAGCCCGTAGTTTGAAATGAACGCTTCAAGATTGAAAAAAAAATATTGATGTTGTTTTTCCGTCTTTTCGTCAGTAACTCCATTAGGATTTTCAGAGTACACTTGTATTATCGACCATAACCTAATGGCAATTAGAAAAGATGCCGTGGATTTAAGCTGAATGTTTATATATGGCATTTTACGCCGAGAAATGATAGGTCAATCTCCTCGGGAGAAGTGTGATGGTATGAATTTTTATTTGTAAATTCCCAACAGAGACAATACCACTAATCCGCAGTGGGGGGTACAGGGTGTGAAAGTGAATGAGAATGAGAATGAGAATGAGAAGACTGAGAATGGGGAGGAGTGAGGAAAGGGGGAAAAAAAAAGAAAGACATAAAATGGTAACTGACGTTGCATTTAGACTTTTGAAGATTATAGTTAACAGGAAAGCAAAAAAAAAAAAAAAATCGGGTGTTCCACAGGTGAGAAGTGCGAGAAAATAAACTGTTAGAAGAGAAGTAGTGGTTGATTCTAATGAGTTCAACAGTAAAACGGTAAGACCTAGATGTAAATCTAATACTACGCTTAAATTTAGGCAGTCGGAACATCAGACGGAGAAAAAAAAAGAAGTTCATCAGAATAGTTGCCATGAGAAGCCATGCCATGATGATGAGAAAGTTACTGAAGAAGAGATCTCTGATCAGGATCGATTACGTCATAGACCATTCTTTGGAATTTGTCGAGAATCTCCAGATGTACAGAAGGAATACCAGATCAAATAGGGTAACACTATTCAATGCGCGGATGAATGCTATATATATATATATATATATATATATATATATATATGTATGCACGAAATAATGACGTGAAATTGATAAGAAATTATTTGGAAAGGTTCCAAAAATCTTACGGAGATCGAACCCCGGATGTATGTGGAAATTTTCTTCTTCTATGTGACGTGTCCATTCAGGACATAGATGATCATAACTCTCCACGACTTCCTATTCATTGTATCTATTTTAGGATGATCCTCCATGTCACGTACACAGGATCAACTTATCCTCAGTGTATGCGGCGTATCGGGTCTTATCTGTGAAGGTTAGATGCAATAAACAGGGGGTCTTAATAAAAGAGAGTGTCTAAAAAGTTTCAAAAATACAAAATTAATAAACGAGATGTTTTATATAAGCTCGAAAGAGTCGAAAAATCCTCACCAAATAAACGCTTTCCCACGCCACGTCTAATAGGCATCTGGGAATAATGTGATACTATTTGTCGTCGCCGCGCTAAAACGGAAGAAAGTTTTGTTAAAACATAAGAAAGCTAGAGCAGTGGCCGACATATTGGACCTGTCGTCATGAAGGTCATAGGGCAGTGGACGGTCCCACAAGGTGGGGATTACTCCTGGATTGCAATGAGCAGAGATGCACCAGGTGCACTCGTCGTGGACATAAGACGTGTCACAGAAGAGAGGAGAGAGGCAGAAGAGACGGAGACGAAACCAGAGACAGGAGAGAGGCCCACGTGATTATCTGCCGACGAAAGCCTCCGACATCAGCCTTGTGCCAAACTTTTCCAATGCAGCAAACCAGATTTTACCAGGTCAACAATAATATCACTTTCGATCTAGAAGCGGGTTGGGCTGATAATTAATTGCATGCGAAATCTGATATAAACCAATTACTGTACTGATATAAAAACAGTATTTCTTTTTGTTCAATTTATTCAAACGTTATTTTTTTTTCTTGTAGGTCTTCGCCCTGCTTGGACCAGTCCAACACGAAAATATCTGCGACGGTTCGATCTTGACCTCCTTATGATCAAACTTAATTCACAACGTAGGATAAGGCAAATCTGAGATCGAAACGATCTTCATCGATCAGATGCGGTGTTGGAAGTCATGGACGACCGGGGAGCGTGTTTTACGATTACATTTGTTGCCGAGATCAAGGATCGACCCTGAGGATTACAATAACACCTCTTTATACTTGTTAAGACAAAGTCTCGGCCGATCTATTCTTCAGTCTCCATCAGGTGTAACTTATGGGGAAAAAAAGTATATTTTTTCTTCCAACAAAAAAAAAGTTAAAAAAAATAAAATTCCACCTCATGAGGGCTGGAGATTGAATCCATCTAAACCCCAATGAATACACAAAATCGAGTTTCAGTTGTCCTAGCAACGTTGGGTATTTATGAAGAGAATTTTAAAAGTTAATGTTATCAGAAACGTGCCAAAACTTAATAGATATTTCGTCTGTGTTTGCCTCTGTATGTGTGTGCGCACGCGTGCTTGTGTGTGTGTTTACACTTATGTATTCTGTCTTTAATTCTTGCAGTGTCGAAGAACAAAGTTGCCATTGACGGCAATACGAAAGTCGATGTCAGAGAAATGAATGTTTGGTGCCACATTTCAGCGCCACTTCCCAACATAGATATTTTTCCTTAAATTTTCTATCGTCTCTTTGTCAAACAATTTACTCCACCCTTAATCTGCACTCTCTCTCTGTTTTAATCTATCTATCTATCTATCTATTGCAGTATGTTCATATCACTCTCTCTTTATCGATGTAATCATATCTGTCTATCTTTTTTTAGACACACTATTTTTTTCTTCATTTCTTCCAAATTTTCTCTCTTTCTCGACTCTCTTTATCATTCCACCTCACTTGTATTACATTTTCCTCTTCCGTTTTGACTCCATATGTCTTTTTCCCAACTCTCTTTTTTTTACCCTGTCTACCTCTTTTTCCTTTCATTCCCTTTCCTCACTCTCTTTCTCATTTCCCCTCACTTATTATTCTATTGTCTCTCTTTTTTTTAGTCTGAATCTTTCTTGTCCTACTTTCTCTCTCTCTCTCTCATCACATTCATTCTCTTTATGTTCCTCTATTTTCCCTACCGTATTTCTCTTATCTCTCTCATCAATTTCATTCTGTTTCTCCCTCTCTCTTACTATATGATTCACTTAATCCACACACACTCTGTCTCTCCGCCCTCTCTATCCTTTTCTGCTTATTCACACTCTTTTTTACTGACTCTCTCTATTTTTGAACTCTCCATTTTCCATCATCTCTGTCTAATTCTCCCCACCCTCTCTTTCTCTTTTACTCTCTGTCTTTTTTTGCAGTCCCTTCACACTTATCCCTCTCTGTTCGCTAAGACACTTGCTTAGCCTTTCTTTGTACCACACTGTCTCTCTTTCGTTCATTCTTTATTTCTATCTCCCACTATTTTCTCTCTATTCCTCTGTCTCTATCTCTCTCTTTATCTCTGCCTCTTTCTCTCTCTCTAAGAGACACGCCTTTTTTTTCTCCTGTTTTTCTCTGTCTTATTTATCAGATTCATTCGTCTTATGAAATATTTAAAAGCCAAAGCTTGACAAAATCCTCTCAAGAAACAAAATATTTTTAACGACTTGAACAGACACTGCTTGAGTTTGTTGAACAAGGCACAAAAGATACGTCAATACCGGATATTCAAATCTCGAGATTCGTTACAAAAAAAAAAAAAAAAAAAAAAAAAGATGCTGTTAGGATAGGGTTCTGGTTTAAAAAAAAATGACAATCACAGTACAAAAAATTATTTCTATTTCTTTGTTATATTTGATATCATATACAGTTTTAGTAACATCTATCTTCACTCGTATGTCTTGTGGCGGTAAAAAAAAGGAGGTTCTGTAATGTTATCGGTCATGACCTGGCATTTCGACATCAGTCAATTTGCTACCACTATGCCGTAAATTTCCATTGTCATTTCTATAAATATCTTCATGGCAGTTGTTATAATTAGCTCTCCTTCTTGGTATGCTGACCGCGTGAAGTTAAACGTACTACTAGACTTTTTTATTGAGATGATCATTGATCTAAGATTTTGGCTATATGAGCCATCTTCAGAATGGTTATTCGGACATTTAAACAAAGATATTCATGATCAAAGATGATATTCTGATACTAATAATAAACCCACTACATATATTGGTTTTACTACAACTACGTTCCCCTGAAGACTTACCTGTCACCTTTTTGATCTTAGCTCTATTAAACACTATTTCTTAGAAAAACATAGCCATGTACATAATATTAGACAGATATTAGTTGATAACACAATAATACTCACACATACATACAGTAAAAAGAATCTTCATATATTGGAGGCCATCTACATTAACATAAAGCAAGCCACACTCAACAAAATTACAGTTCAAACTAGTTACAATACATTACATTGCATCTAGACATCTGGTTCTGTTGTTAAGATTTAGATCTCTGACGTTTACGGCGTCATAGAACCGTATCATGAATTTAAGACCGTTATCTTTGCATAGCAATCTTCTATGTCAACATAACAGAAGATCATCTTTGATGGTTGATATGTCCCGGAAAGGGATATATTTGATCGAATTAGCTAAGTGGATTTGGCTACTGTAACCAAGTAGTACACGGTAGCAGTAATCGACTGGTACTCGTCGTAGTCTCAGGTAATATGCTTAGGAAATTAGTGTAGACCAATAGGATAGCCAATGGGCGTCGTCATAGACTTAAACTCTGTCGTACCTACACGTCTGTCTGTATTTACGGCGGACACCAGCCAATCATATTCCAGTGAGGGGGAACTCAGGTGTATGCATATTCCATTATATCAATGGTGAATATCAAGTACACATGGCACAATGGATAAAGGTGTTAATCAGTGACAAGACCCAAAGAGTGTGAGTTCAATACCCGGTTAAGGCAGTGGAGAACTTGGAGAGGGGAATTAACAGGAAAAAACTGACAACTGACATCCATTAAACATGGCACGTGGAAATAGAACAGTCTACCCCAGTGAGCGAAATAAAGGGTTCAGTTCGACATTCCAACCACCTGAAGAAGGCTGGAGCGTACAACGGCCGAAACGTTATAATACATATGGCGACAAAGATGAGGACAATAGTTCGAATAATGTAAATAGTGTACATAATTCCTCATCTCAGAAATATAGACAGATAGTGAATATCCTTGTTTAAATGTCCGCATAACCACTCTGAAGATGGCTCATGTGAGTCGAAAGCTTAGATCAAGGAACAATATAATAAAAAAAATATCCAAATATTGGACAATTTTTGTCTTTATTTTCACCTGAAATTATAGCAAATATACGGGGTTTTGAACGGCTTATAGTCAAACATAATAAACATTCATTATCTGTTATATTTAGTAATATATATATATATATATATATATATATATATGATAAAAATATACTTTTAATTTAATGTACGCTGTATTTATGGCTAGAGTGCTCAATAACAAGAATAGAACACCAGTTACTATTTTAGATTGAGAATCCTTAAAGATATAGAGACGATTAACATCCTTTAAGTCGAAATATGGTCAGACCTGTTACGATGAAGGAGAAAAGCATTTAGTGTAATGCTTTGTAATGGTTTTGACTATAATACATTGCTTGTATTGTTTCTTTAACATAATGAGGGGCATTAAAAGAAAATAAACATGATTTAACGAAACTAAATTAGAAAAGGCTTTCCGCTTATCGTGAGCAGAACACTTTTACGTCTTATTCCACGAGAAGAAATCCCATCTCCACCGGCGTTAAATAAAATATACATTCCCTTTCCAAAAGCAGCTATAATGATCGTGGTAGATGGAGCCGCCTCACCTTGACGTTATGGAAATACCATGACTTACATCAGTTGTGCTCTGACGTCCGATGTGTCAGTGAGAACACCAGTTCGTTTGCTCATGTCAAGACAATGTGACTTATCAGAGTCTAAACGAAGTATAATCGTGTGCAACAAAGATGGGGCATTAAATTTCCTGAAATTGTGTGGACTTTTGGCATCTCTCAATCTGCGGTGTCAGCCGGGAAGACCTGATGGAAGACATTACTGCCCGCTGTAGACAGTGTTGTTCTTCATGATTGTAACTAGACGCAAGAATTATCTGGCAACAAACAAACGGCACTGTCTCAAATCATATCCACATTCAATGCAGGGGGCTCCGGGTCAGTTCAGCTTTCTTTCGCCTTGTTGGGATATTGGAGAAGACCCCCGAACGTGAACCTGTTAATATCGTGACACCGAACATAACGTCTCACCTCTTGATGTCGATAATTGGACAATGGAAGACTGGCAACCTGTGGCTCATCACGTTTTAAGTTGATTCCGATTAAAGTTAGGCTTCAGCTATGATGCAGATCTCATGAAGCCATTGATCCCAGTTAAACGGGTTAACGGGTTTAACTCTCCTTCACCGGTGTGCATTACATTGCACTGATTCATAAGAATTTAATGGACTCGATCTGCCCAAACAAGGATGGGTTACTCCAGTAGGATAATGTCCTGGGGTACAACTTATACAGAATTGGTTTAAAGGGAATTCTGGAGACCCCCGATAAAAAGGTGTGGCTACTACGTTAGACCGACATATGACCAACAGATAAAATATGGGACAGATTAGGGAGGTCTGTTCATATGCAAGATCCTGTGCCGTCTGAGAGGTTAACAGCTATCGAGGCGGTATGAAACAACTACTCTGAAGATGGCTCATGTGAGCCGAAACCTTAGATCAAGGGCCAGCTTATTAAAAAAAATATGCAAATGTTGGACAATTTTTGTCTTTATTTTCACCCGAAATTAAAGCAAATATACGGAGTTTAGAACAGCTCATGATCAAACATAATAGATATTCATTGTCTGCTACACTTAACAGTATATATATATATATATATATATATATATATTAACCCTTACGCCCTTTTTTTAAATAATTGCTCTAGCCGTTACCATAGTAATTTTAATTTTAATTTTAATAATGAATATGCTTATGAAACGCGTAAATTTCAAGAATTAGTTATTCAAAAAAAATTTCGCTTGAAGATGGAACAGAGCTTGGTACTTTAATTCAATTTAATTCAAATAATTATATTGAAGTTTTCGGCTCTTGTTTTGAAACATGAGAACTCTTATGTAGCGATGGAATCATATTTTGAAATAAATAATTATATATATATATATATATATATATATATATATATATATATATATCGAGCAATTTAATGACTAGATGTAACCGTAAGTTCTTTGCTAACAGTTTCTTCTATTACTGGTGCTCCTGCTATATGTTTAAATATTCTTGACGAAATCCAAAGAAGAATCTACAATGTTATTGGTCCTGACCTGGCATCTCGGCTTCAGTCATTTTCTCACCGCCGTAACGTAGCTTCCCTGTGCCTTTTTTATAAATACTTTCATCGTAATTGTTCTGATGGACTTTTCGCTATGATAAATTCACTTTATGAATTTAAGTACAGTACTAGATTGGCGGCGAGATCTCAATTGTAATGGCTAGATATAACCGTAAGTTCTATGCTAAGAGTTTGTTCCATCGCATTTCTCGCTTGTGGAATTCTCTCCCTGCTTCTTGTTTTGCAGTCAACTTTGGTCTTCAAAAATTTAAACGCAACGTCAATGTTCTGTCTTCTTAATTATTGTTCTTTTATTGTTTGTTCTCCTTAATAGGAATTTTTCTCATATTCTCTAAAATTCAGTAACCTTCTTGCATCTTAGTGGATTTATTGCCTTGCTTGGGATGAAATGATAAAATAAAATCTTGTGGAGTCAATGTCCTTTCAAATTACAGTATTTCGATGGATTTGAGGAGTCCAATATGGTACTACGCACCTACCTCACGATTTGTGGTATGTCACTGGAGTTTTTTTTTTTGTAAGATAAGTTTACTTCTTTACCGTTGTTTTTTATTTTAGCATAAAAATAATATTAGTGAGAAGGAAATTGAGCATGGAATATGCTTCGCTAGTGAGAGTTTCACTCAACACTGCGCGTTTCTACAAAATCAAAACATCAACTTTAAAACTCAAGTTATGTCCTTAAATTTCCTCGTCAGAATGGGGCTTTCATGCGGATGTCATGCATAGCACCAAACCCTTTAAGAAATATCTAAGCTGTCAACTGTATAATAAAACATGTTCTCAGATGAATCATTAAAAATGGCTTTGGGCGAGTGAACACTGTGGGTTTTGGCCAAAATTGTGAACTGGCGCTACAGAATCACAAAGAACCGCACCAAATAACAGAAGCGACATCACTGGAAGACTTTCAACAGCAGCAACAACTAAAATGGATAGTACGAGTAACTCAGAGAGAAACTAATTGTATAATCATGATATTGGCGTTTCACACGACTATAAATAACTGGTTAATCCTCTTCAATAATAGAAAAAGCAATATCAGTTCCTAGCCTTGAGAAATCTATTTTCCCGATAAATTGTCGTAAGAGAAAGAGCTTATAAATTTCAATTGACAATAACACTAGTCAATGAAATACGAATGTTTCCTTATAAGTAAACGCCTAATATTACGATTACCATTAACACTCTTCGAGTCGAGAATTAGCTATCTATCTTCCTTCTTATCATGCCCTTTCTTATGCTAATACAACTCCACACAGTAACCCTCTACCTTGAATGACTCTTGGGCCATGTATTGGGTAAAAATTAAAAAAAAAATAAAAGAATTCTTTTGAGTCTGTCTATATTTCTGAGATAAAGTGTTATGTACACAGTGGATAAAGGCGTTGGTTAGATCCAGTAACAAGACCGAAAGAGTGTGAGTTCAATACCCGGTTAAGGCAGTGGTGAACTTTCGGAGGGAAATTAACAAGAGATAACTGATAGCTGACATCCATCAAACATGGCACGTGGAACTAGAACAGTCTACCCCAGTGAGCGAAATAAAGGGTTCAGTTCGACATTCCAACCACCTGAAGAAGGCCAGATCGTACAACGGCCGAAACGTTGTGATAAATATGGCGACAAAGATGAGAACAATAGTCCGAATAATGTAAATAATGAAGAATTCTTTTACTTATTTACTTTTGCCATTTTCTTTTTCTTTCATTCCTTTTTATTTTTTTCTTTATTTTTTTCTTTCTTTATTTCTTTTTGTTTTTCGTTTTTTCTTTTCTTCTTTTCTTTGTTCTTCTCCTCTACGTCTTCCTTTTAATAGATTCCTCTGTTTTTCTTTCTTTTCTCTGCCTCATTGTTGGATTTAGGGATTAAGGAAATCCTTACGTATGAAAACTGTTAAGGTTTTATTTAACCGGTTTACGTGAATAAGTCCCTGACCTTTACTATAGAATTATTAAAATGGACCTTTTAGATCAGTGTTTCTTAACCCTTTTCAGCAATCGTACGCCTAGGAGCAAATGAAAATATCACAGCCCACAGAGCAAATCTTTTAAATGGTAAACATTTAAATGTTATAAAATAAAACCATAGATTTTAAACAATACTCACACAAATATGAAATTTATTTCAATGTTTCTATTTAACTATTTGTGCAGATTATTTAAATAAGCTGAAACCTGAGCCTGGTTTTTTTTTTTTGCGATTTTTTCGGTGTTTGGTCAAATGTGTGATAAGCAGACCACCATCTCTTTTTCAGTTGAGCGTAGTCTTTCCCGCTTCTTTTTTATGTTATTTAGGGTTGAGAAGCTTAATTCACATAAAAATTGTAATAGAACTGATAAAGCCTTTTTAGCTAATCAAAGGATAAAAAGTTTAATACTTATTCATTTGTTTCTGGTAAAAAATCATGCAATGATAACAGCAAAAATTGCAATATGAGCACTGGTAAAGAATGGTGCTGAAGGCATTAGGTTTATAATATCCAGAAATTAATACACAGATGTCCTCAAGGACACATGGAACAGTAGATAAAGGCGTTAGTTAGATCCAGTGGCAGGATCCAAAGAGTGTGAGTATATACCTGGTTAAGTGGGTGGAGAACTTTGAGAGGGGAATTAACAGGAGATAACTGACATCCATTAGATATGGAACTAGAACAGTCTACTCCAGTGAGCGAAAAAAGTGTTCAGTTCGACATTCCAACCACCTGAAGAAGGCCGGAGCGTATAACGGCCGAAACATTGTGATAAACATGGCGATAAGATCAGGACAATAGTCCGAATAATGTAAATAGTGTACTTATTCATTTATTCAAATACAAACGCTATTACTACTTCCGTATATTCCTACTTCTATATATAGATATATAGATATATGGATGCCATGACATTATTTCGCGGCACGGGGGTTAAGAATCATTGCTTTAGATTGTCAGACTCTCTAAACTGTTAACTTATTTAGCATAATCCTAAATTGAAATTGTTATTTTCATTCTTTCTTGTTTGCATTTCACATTTTATCCATTTTGTTTTACTTCTGTTGGTCAACCATTTTCCTCCTTCGTTTTGTCCTTCCGTTCCTACATTTTTCTTTGCATCTTTTCGACCATCACCTCTCCCAGTATATAATTTTCATTTGTTCTGTCCTTCCTTCCTTCCTTCCTTTTCTGGGTCTGTCATTTTTTTTTATTCTCCCTTTCACTCCTTCATTTTTTCTTCTTTCTCTCCGTCTTTCATTGATTATTTCCTTTTATCTGTCTATCACTTCTTCCACCGTATTATTTTTCATCCCTTATTAATTCTTTCACTTTGTCTTTGTTCATTTTTTCTTTCATTTTGTCTTTGCTTCATTTCTTCTTTCATTTTGTCTTTGCTTCATTTCTTCTTTCATTTTGTCTTTTATTCATTTTTTCTTTCATTTAGTATTTTCTTCGGTCTTCTTTCAATTTGATTTTCCTCCATTAATTCTTTCACTTTGTCTTTTTTTCATTTTTTTCTTTCATTTTGATTTTCTTCCATTAATTCTTTCACTTTGTCTTTCTTTCATTTTTTCTTTCAATTTGGTTTTCTTCCATTAATTCTTTCACTTTGTCTTTCCTTCATTGTTTTCTTTCATTTTGTCTTTCTTTCATTTCCTCTTTCATTTAGTATTTTCTTCGGTCTTCTTTCATTTTGATTTTTCTCCATTATTTCTTTCACTTTGTCTTTCTTTCATTCTTTTCTTTCATTTTGATTTTCTTCCATTAATTCTTTCACTTTGTCTTTCTTTCATTTTTTCTTTCATTTTGATTTTCTTCCATTAATTCTTTCACTTTGCCTTTCCTTCATTTTTTCTTCCATTTTGATTTTCTTCCATTAATTCTTTCACTTTGTCTTTCCTTCATTTTTCTTCCATTTTGATTTTCTTCCATTAATTCTTTCACTTTGTCTTTCCTTCATTTTTTCTTCCATTTTGTCCTTCTTTCTTTTCTTCTTCCATTCTGTCTTTTCTTCATTCTTATTTTATTTTGTCTTTCCTCCATTAGTTCTATTCTTTTGTTCGACTTTATATCTTCTTCCATTTTTTGTTTTTTGTTCTTTATTTCTTCCTTACTTTTCTCTGTTAGTCACTTTTTCCTTCATAATGTCCGACTTTCGTTTCTGCGTTTTTCTATGTCTGACCTTCCTTTCATCTTAGCTTTAATTTTTTTCTGAGGGCTTATCTTTTTTTTCCTGCTTACGTATTTATATCAATTTTCATTCATTTTACTTACGTAATTTTTGTTTTTCGTTTTATTGAATTTTTAATTATATTTTCCTTCTTTTTTCTTTCATGGTTTCTATTTCTTCTTTCTTTCTTTCTTTTTTTCCAGATTTCAAGCTTTACTTTTTCGATTTCTTTTCTTAACTATTTATATTAAGCCAAGATTAAATATGATGTCTTGCGGCATTAAATCATAAAAAACTGTTGTTTTTTTTTCAAAACAGTCATAAAGTTTTATCCCACATTTTTCTTCTCTTTTTTTCTTTTTAAATTTCTCCTTCTTTCTATTTCTCTTCATCCTCTTTCTTTTCTACTTCTCTTCCGTTGTCTTCTTATATCCTTTCCTTTTCCACGTTCCTTCTTCCTTTCTCCGGTTTCACTTCCTTCCACTTATATTTTCACCTCTTCTTCTCTTTCGCAACCATATAATTCCTCCGTCAGCCACCCGCTGCTTCTTGACCTTTTTTATTATTTATGTTATTTTCCCCTCTCTTCTAACTCTCAACAAAAGACGCCTTGTCCACGCAAGTGATGAACAATCGCCACCTACCGACCTTTCTCCATCACAGATACACGCATGCGCACATCTCGACCGCTCTTAGAAACAACGTCACCTTTACGCAGTTTGAAATTAAGCAAAGACAACCACTCAGACAGATATTTGCACAGTTTATTCATTCTATTTCAAACTTCACACCTTTCCCTCTCATTCTCTTGGTGACCATTTCTTTTAGACCATTCCTCCGCGTGTCTTCTATAATGGCTGCTTATAACCATTCTTACGGAATGCTTTGGCATTTTGTTCTTTCTTCCCTCATTCCTGTTATGTTTGCTGCGATTTTTGTATTTTACTCTAAAAAATTCTGTCCATTTTTGATTCGGTAGGATTTTTTCTGCCTCCTTTCCAGGATCCACTGTCGTACCAATTTATGTTTATTCTTAATAATTCTAACAAGTCATCTTTGATTAATCAATTCTCTGTTGTGTGTTTTATATTTCTGTGGCTCCACTCGAACAGAATATGGCACAAGGCCCAGTTTAAAGAGGAAGTCTCAGCGTGTACTTGGGGACCAGAGTTTTAAAATAGTTCAGCCCCTTAGTCATTTTGGTGACGCTTAACGTATCTGAGGTTAATCTTAATCCTATCCAGTACAACTGGATAGGGTTAAGATTAAACAGATAGGGTTAACTACGATTTTAAAAATATTTTCACTTTTAATTTTTAATATACTATCGTAGTTAAATAAAACGTATTCTAACCTAAACAACGCCCAAAAATCTTTAAGTATACAAACAGAAAAAAATGCCGTAAGAATTTTTGCCGTTAACAATAATTTTTTTAAAAAATCCAGACGACATGCATTTAACGGATGTCAGAATTCGTTGAAAAATACATCCCTACCCCTACCTAAGCGAAAACCCTTCTTCAAACGTAACTAATAACTGATACAACAAAAGTTAATGAAAATGAACACACAACGTCCCCTTGTCTGGATGAGTGGACTTCTCTGTATCCTAGGAAACGTGAATTATGAATTTTTGCAGTGCATTTAAAACCCAGTAATTTCAAAAATAAGTTACTCCAAAATTCGCTTGAGGATGAAATGGAACTAATGTCTTTAATTTAATTACAAAATTAAATTCGAAGCTTTTAGCTTTCATTTTTGAAACATGGTTAGAATTGTGTAGCGAAAATTTTTTTTAAATCAGTTAATATATATATATATATATATATATATATATATATATATATATAGATCAAACACTTAAAATACCATGGGTAATAATCTTTATTTCATGAAAGCTATAAAAATAGCCTTCATTTTTTCAGACCTGTAAACAAAATATAAACGGAAAAAATGACTCCAGGTTAAATTCAAGAGATATAGATATTGTATTAAAGGAGAGGAAGAAAAAAAAAGTCACTAGAATCAGTATTCACCCTGTTACAGCAGCTCATATTCTTCATAGTAGAAAAATTAACATTTCACATGTTACAGCAAATTTATAAAACAGAATTTCTTCACATGACAATCACTCCTTTTTATTCTAAAATTGTCGTTAGTTCTCATTTACAGCTGTTATTAGTGAACATGGAACGAAAATTAATATTCCGTCTATAAAAATTCATAGTAGATCAAGAAGTAACAATCAGCTGGTTACAGTATCTCAAACCCCACATCATAGGAGAAACTTTCTTCATGTTACAGTGACACCCAGTCATCATAACATAATTAGGAGTACAGCTATTCATCTCCGAAAAAGCACAACTGTTACTCATTCATATCGTAGAATAAATCTTCCCCCTACAAGTATGAAAGCTGTTCAAATTTATGAACATGTAATGAAGCGAGGAAGGAAGAAGACACGTGGATTTATTCTCAGTAGACTTTAAGGTTTGAAGAGACCTGATTTAATATGACATATGCTACAATGTTGCATTTTGATTTAGAGGTTGAACGAAAATCTTGTTAAGTCAATGGGAGTTAAGAAACACTGTCTTACTGGCTAAGAATCTGACATATATCTATTTTCAATTAGCAAACTTTTATTAATTTGATTAAGGACATTTAAAAAATATTCAGAACTCAGCGAAAGATTTAGAATAGTATAAGTTCCTAATATAATTCCGCATATCTATATGATACTACTAAAAATAATTAGTTTTAAAAACAAAATCAACTCTTAAACGAGAGAAGTGAAATAATGGGTAAATATAGGCATATAAATAAATACTTACTTTACTATCTAAGTACTAATTAAAAATAAACAAATAAATAAAATAATACGATATAAACTTCAAATAAGCAAATAAATAAATGAAATAAATAAAATATAAACTTAAAAAAATAATTGTTAATAAATAAATAAACGAACATATATAAAAAATACACACCTCTGCATGTAAATATTAACACACACACACACACACACACACACACACACACAGTTTTTTCATGTTGTAATGCGCGCTTTGCCATGACATTATAACACTGAGTAAAAATTCCATAGTGGATAATTTTTTTCACGTTCTAATAAACGCTCAGCACATTGTCAACCGTTTTGCATTTAAAAGGATAATGAAAAAATACGATAATGGATAACAACGCACAACTTTGTATAAATACTTGTAGTAATGAACAACATATAGTTTTGTATACTTGTAGATTTTTGAAGATGATCTTGGAAGAGGATCGAAAGTACTTTGGAAATGAAAATATAAGAAATTTAAACAATTGTAGCACATTTCTCTCATCCTTTAACATCAATACACGGAAAGTTGTTCGTGAGTACGAATGGATTTTGTTGAAAATTAGCAGACATAATGACGTGCCTTTAACCGATTGGGACACAGTAAAATCGACCTTGCTAATGAAAATCCTTTGTGGCCCAATCGGTTAAAGGCACGCCAGGCTATATGACGGTTCCGTATAGGATACAGGTTCGATTCCTGTCGCAGGACGAATATTTTCTATGAAGATTTCTCGGACATTCAGGCCGGTAAATGTTGTTTAATACTGTTTATAATAAACAGAGCATTTACTTAAATATCTATATCTATGAAAAGAATGTATAAACATAAAAATGTCTTAAAATGATACATATTTATATTTGATATTTTAATAATAATTTTTAAATAATAAAGTAAGTTTAATACATTTATTTGTTTTTAAATGAAGTATAGTCTAATCGCAATTAGAAGTAGGAATAATTTTTTAACATTGTATTTTAATACGAAGTACTCATATTCAAACAACCCTTTTGGAAAAAAATCTTAATGTATACAATAACAAATTGTACGGAAAAAATGCCGAAAAACATTTGTCATTGAAAAAAAACCCCCAAAAAACAGACGACATGCGAAAAAATGTCATCATTTGTTGAATAGGCACCCCTACCCTACCTTAACCTCATTTCGAAAGTAACTCATATTTTGATACAATAGTTGTCAGTGAAAATGTATACCCTACCACCTCTTGTCAAAATAAATGAATTTCCCCATATCCTTAGAAACTAATATTAAGAATGTATGTGCTTATAAAACTCAGTAAATTTCAAAATAAGTTATTCCAAAATTCGCTTGAAAATGAAACATTACTAAGCATTTAAATTTAATTCTATAATTAAATTTGAAGTTTTTAGTTTCTATAACTGTCTATATTGCTGAGATGAGGTATTATGTACACCATTTACATAATTCGGACTATTGTCCTCATCTTTGTCGCCATATTTATTACAAAGTTTCGGCCGTTGTATTTTTACCCCTTGTTCAGGTGGTTGGAATGTCGAACTGAACCCTTTATTTGCTCACTGGGGTAGACTGTCCTAGTTCCACGTGCCATGTTTTTAGTTTTGTTTTTTGAAACATGGTAATTCCTGTTTAGCGATGGAACCATATTTTTTAAATTAGTAAATTTATAATATATATATATATATATATATATATATATATATATATATATATCCATTACGTACATCCATACAATTTGAGTTGAAACAAATGTAGCCTTAAAACAAAAATCGTGCATAAAACGTCAATCCTGTTTGGTAAACAACTAAACTAAAATAAGTGAAGCTGATCCTTGCCTTCAATTTTTTTTCTCACTCAGACTGTAGCTTCTTCTAACCAAAATCAGAACCAGGTTAAGAAAATAAGCATTGATACGAAGACTAAACAATCCATTCTCCATTAAGGAACAAACGCAGTGCTTCTAAGACAGGCGGTTGGTTCCATTTTGGAAAAAAAACATCGGGTGAATTTAAGGGCTGGGTTTCCGGTGACTAAACAAATTCTGCGAGGCAGTGTCCTGACCCCCACTTTTTTGTGCAGGGGTAAATACTGATACACTGGCGGCTTTTATATGAAAATCGTTATCCCTGTCAGTTCTAATAGCTCTATTTTGCCTTCTTTATTTATAGTGTTTGACACGAGAGTGACACGACAGAAAGAATGAAGAGGAAAGGGTGTTAAAGAGGGGGAAAAAGAACAGGAAAAAATACAAAGGGAGAGGAAATGAGGAAGATAGAGAAGGAAGGAGAAATATGATGCGGAGTGGAGTAAGAGAAAAGCAGAGAGAGAGAGAGAGAGAGGGGTATTGAAGGACTGATTGAAAAGAAAACAATTTTGTAGAGAGAAGGTTTTAAAAAAATAAAAGAAGAGAAAGAAAGAAAGGAAAAGAAAATGAGGAAAAGGTGAATATGAGAAAGAAAGAGATAGAAATGAGGAAATGTAAAAAGGAAGCGTGAGAGGAGAAAGAAAGAAAGAAAGAAAGAAAGAAAGAAAGAAAGAGAAAGGGGGAAATAGTGAGAATGAGAATGAAAGGAAAGAGGCGATGAAATGTAGAAAGCAAAAAAAGGGGAAAAAGAACATTCAAAAAGAAAGATATTAGAAGAATATCAGAAAAGGAAGAGAAGCAGAGGTTGATGGAGGGAGTGGAATGGGAGAAGGCAGAGAGGAAACAAAGACAGAGAAAAAGAAAAAAAAGACAGAGAGAGAAAGAGAGAAGACAAAGAGAGAGTAGAAGAAAGAAGACAAAGAAAGAAAAAGAGAGAAGCGAAAGAGAGATGACACAGAACGGAAGAAAATAAAGCATATGCTAGATTTTGTTATACTTCGACAAAACACACACACACACACATACACACACACACACGCACACGCACACACACATATGTATATATATTTAATTTCGATTATAGGTGCAGTTTAATTTATAATTACATGAATCATTCATACAAAAAACAAATATAGAGGTTAATGATTTAAATGGCGAGAATACATCTTCGCAAACAATTTCATTAAGTTACACTAACCTCGAACCTGTATATGAATGACATGATCCCTGTTTATAAATTCAAGTTTCATAAGGTCTTTTTTAGTTTTTACAAGCTTTCGTCTGTTCCTACAGACATCCTCAGGTATGGAAATAGATTTTGTTCTTGTTTTTTACTTCTCGGTAATAAGAGGACAACGAAAACAGAGATGTAATCCGAAAAAATACTATGAGAAATGTGTTATTGTTTTGGAACAATATATATATATATATTCAGTTGTAAGGATATTAATTTGTGAACCTGGGTTTCACGATGTTGTGATTCTCAGACAATTTGGTTTATTTTTTAAAAATGGATTTATTTATGTCTATTTGTGCTTGATTATGTTTGTGGGTGGAAGGGTGAGTTTTCTTCTCTGTTTGTTTGGAATGACACTCTCAAACACATTGACACACATACATTCAGGTGTACGCATTTTAATTCATATACACACCTACAATCATATAAGCAATCCGAGGGTCATAAACTAATATCCATACAAATGAATATTTTAGCTCTATCACTGATATTGAGCACTTTGCAAATGTAAACTGCGAGTGCACACACACACACACACACACACACACACACACACACACACACATATATATATATATATATATATATATATATATATATATATATAATCCTTTGTAAAACGGCAACTGTTGACATTTGCAAAATTTATATAATGCCTGTTTTCATAAATGTTTTGTAAATTTCGTACATCAACAGCTGCCATCTTGAAGGCGTAATTACTGCATATATATTATTATATATATATATATATATATATATATATATATATATATATATATATATATATATTCATTGATGCATGTTTCATTGAATAATGTCGACAAGTTTTGTCTATTTATTTTATGTAAATTCTTTTTATATCGTCTGATAAGCTTAATAACATTATCATTAATATAAAGAAAACCCCAATATTGATACATATTTTTTAATCCTATCTGAGTTTTCGGCTTACATAAGCCATTATCAAAGATGACAATTGCATTAAAATATATTTGGCTATTTCAATTTGCCTTTTCACAAGGCTACATTTATAATTCCAAGTGTTGATAGTTTGGTGGGTTGCTTGATCATCGTGTGTAATTAGGGCCCATTTTTTTTTATTGATGCATGTTTCATTAAATAATATAGGCAAGTTTTGTCTATTTATTTTATGTAAATTCTTTTCATATCGTCTGATAAGCTTAATAACATTATCATTAAAATAAAGAAAATCGCAATTGGGAAATTCAGATTACCAACACACAAACAGAAAATGTCTCATATCGAGAATATTTAACATTGAACATGAAGAAAAAATTAATTATTATTTTTAATAATATGTGGAAATTCCACTTTTACCTGAAGACGGTCACGAGACCAGAAACACGTGTCATCAAAATTATGTAAAACAAAGCATAATATTTTTTCTAAATAAATCCACATTACAACCAAAAACGTTTGCGGCATTTCTTCTTTTTTTAATATACATATTTTCAATCTCGTTGGAACCACTACATTATAATTTTTTATATATATATATATATATATATATATATATATATATATATATATATATATATACGGGTGTAACAACAAAATTTTCAAAATCGTGCAACGGCAAAAAAGTGCCAATTTTTTTTGATTATGCTTTGAACCGTTGTTTCTTAGAAATGATTAAAGATATCTTACTGTAATTCTCCGAGATTTTTATAACGCTATTAGACTCTACTTTAAGCAATAAGAATGTATAATTACTCTCAAAGCTTAACAGAAGAATCGTGATGAAATCTATCATAAACGAAAATGACATGTTCATCATTAATTAATCATAGCTAAGGATCGAAAGCTTATGAGGGATTGAAATAAAGTTCAAATATGTATTTATTATTTTAGGATCATTTTACAACTTATTCCAGATGATCTTCGGCCTCTCTAACCTTCTAAATTTCTATCCTAGAGTAACAAGTTGCCTCACAAGTTTCACGTACGATTTCATTATCAAGTCCGTTTTCACTGCTCTTTGGACAGTCATAGCTGAAGCTCCTCTCTCACGTGCCAAACGTCTTATGGATTGAGTTGAAATAACTCAAGGGATTATTCAGTGATTTTTACAAAAACTTGTGTCAAGATGGCTGAAAGACTTATATTAAACAGTTTGTGGGATGGATACTTTTACTGTTACACGAATTGGACAATTTTGCTATATATATATTGTTATATATCGTGCCTATGAACACTAATGGATATGTTCAAATCCTGATAAATATGTTGGAAACTATTCTAAGTATCTTATTAATGGTAATTTTGAAAGTAGTTCACCACGAGCAGTGGTTTACCTACTTCACGACGCTGGCGAGTATTATATTTTGTTGATGTTATAAAGATTACCATTTCATTTTCAACCTTCGTAAATCTTTACAATCAGTAACCCTTTCTAGGTTACATAACTTTACTATCTGGTCTATTTTCAGTTTATTTATATCTTTCGTATCTTAAGTTAAAATTGTGTTTTATAGTAAAAACAGGTACTAATTCCCTTAGAATCGATTCGCTGTTTATGTTGATTAAATCCAGCGAGAAGATAGCCAACTATTTTTCTATCCACATGTTTCGATTAAATGTTTATTACATATTTCCCAAATAAATAAATATATTTACGAGTAGTGCATTAGATCTTATAGTCTCTTTTTTATATTTCATTCAGTATATATTTTTATATATATATATATATATATATATATATATATATATATATATATATATATATATATATATATATATATATATGTATAACAGACATATACAAGTTAATATGAAATAGAATGGGTGCCGCCTGAATTTTGTTTTAAAATTAATATACGGTTTTTTTTTAATTTTCATCAAATTATAAATAACTTTATTGATAATTATATATTTATTCATATTTATATATTTATATTTAATATTATATATATATATATATATATATATATATATATTATAATAAATATTATATATAGTTCAAATATATATAACATATGACGATATATTTTATATATATCAAATATGAAATTTAAAAATATATATATATATATATAATTAAAATAAAAATATATATAATATTTTATATAAATAAAATAAATATATATTTCAATATATATAAATTGATAAAAAATGATATCAGATAAATAAATATCATAGTTTATATATATGATTAAATATATATAAATAGATTTATATATTTGTTGATATATAAATATATTTTGATGTAGATATATATATAATATATATATATATATATATATATATATATATTCGCAATATTATATTGAATATATATATAAAATATATATTATATAATATATGGATAACGTTATATATAAATTATATTTAAAATTCATGTTTATAGCAAAAAAAGGGCAAATATATGTCCAATTTAAAATAATAAAAAATATATATATATATTATATATATATGGATATATATATATATATATTTAATTAAAAACTAAATATTCTTGAAAAACAGGAGAACATTTTTTCTTTTATATTTATATATATATTTTATATATATTTTATTTATATATTAAACATCAGAACATAGCGTCATATTAATATATGGCAAAAAATCATCTTTGATTTGATAAACAAAAACAGAAGAGATGGAACAGAAGAGATATGTCTATGTCTTTAATTCTAAACAAAAATGGAAGTTGAACATAAAATGAGCTTGAATGAAAGATGGTTTCGCTCATTTCCAAATAATAAATTAAAACCAAAAACTTCAACCTGAAACCTCGATTCATCTTCTTAAATAGTCTCGTCACATCAGGACTTTCATATGGATGTCATGCATGGTGCCAAACCCGTTCAGAAATATCTCAAGCATCAGTTGCATACAATCGCTTTCTAAGGTCTATGGTTAAAAATGGCTTCGAGTGAGTGAAGGTTGTTAGTCTTGGCAAAGTCCACCCTTCTTTGAACATTGTGGACTGGTTTTACAGAACCACTAACAAAGAAGTGTGGCAAATAACAGAAAGCACATCACTTGTGGACTATCAACAGCAGCAACATATAAAATGGATGGCACATGTAACTTGAAGAGAAAATAATAACATAATCAATATGTTTTCATTCGACTCTACTTCAAATGAAAAGTTAAGGAAAGACGATCCCATCAATACTAGAAAGAGCGATAAATACTACAGGACGTTTTTTCATAAAAATTACTTTAAGAGAAAGATTTTATAAATGTCATCTGAAATTAGCAGGCTGCTCGTTCGATGATTGCCGAATGTTTTTTATATTTTATTAATTAACAAAGCTCAATTTTAAAATGGGCCATGTACCCCAAAACAACTCAAATTTTGCCAATATCTCCCAAAAAACATCTCAAACATTTTTCAAATGTACCCCAAAACATCTCTTTTTTTGTTGGTACCCCCAAAACATCTCAAACTTTTTAAATATTTTAAAACAACTTAAACTTTGCCAAGTAAATCAATCCTTGGTAGATTTAATCTGTTTTGGAAAGAGTCAAATCATTAATTAATGAATGATATTAATTCCTTTAATTTGGTTATACAATTCATCTTATTGTTCCAAGAAAATTAAGGGTTGTGTCGAGCTTAATATATATTATTCCGTGATTCTTACGAAAACTTGTGTCAAGATGGCTAAAAGACTTATATTAAACAATTTGTGGGATGGATACTTTTACTGTTACACGATTTGGACAATTTTGCTATATATATGTTGTTATATATTGTGCCTATGAACACTAA